ATAGTACTTTTTTAAATAATTCATAACTTTTTTGTTTATGAGTTGCCCAGCAAACGCACATTGTCAATAAATAGCACTTTATCTAAACTGCAATATAAATATATAAAAAATAAAATAAAAAATAAATATGCAATTTGAGTAATTTAATATTTTTTAATTTTATATTTATATTTTTTTCTTGAAAGCCACAATACTTGTCCGCAACTTCGCGGAAGACACCATCTCGATCAAACGATTTCGCGAGATATATTTTTTTTCTATTGATGCTTATCCTTTTTGCATAAGCCCTTTTTAAGTGTTAGTCGTGTACAAAACTAGGGAACCAAATATGTAAAATGACATTTTGGACAGTAATAAAAGACTGTGTAAAATAACAAGTAATTCTATAAACATCGATCCGAAACGATTTGCGAATCTGTGTGGAACTACTCAGTTGGTAGAAACTACGAGGCATCACTACAAGTTGAAAAAGAGCCTGCACAGCAAACGGAACAACGAAAAGAGCGCCGATTTTTCAAATAAAAGTGCACACTTAGAAATAACTGTTATTTTAAAATTACCAATAATATTGCATTTTACATGACATTTTAACCAAAACTGTTTTAAAAATACATCGCTTTAAACTATGTTTCAATATAATTTTACATTAAAAATCATGCACATTAAAGGAGCATGATAAAACTCATAAAATTACACGTTTATTCGATTAATTTTCTCTTTGTTTTCCATCGATCTTGTTTTCCGTGCAGAGCACCAATGCTTCCGACGCCAGGGAGGCAGCTTCCTCACCTGGACCCTACCTACCGACCCATCAACTCATGAACCGGGGACCAACAGTTTTACTTTCCTTCCAAAGGCGTGATCAGAGATGTTATGCACACTATGAAAAAGACATGTAAATTTCAGTGCCCTGAGACCGACACATGCAAGCGGCCTTTTTGACATAAGAATCAGTTGAAAAGGACGGGAAAATCAATTCAATCAAATGCACTTTTCGTCGAGTGTCACATGTTTCAGTTTCAGGACACTTAATTTTACATGCCATGTTTGTTTACGTTCCATGATTTACGTCAAAGCTGAATTACGTTTCGTGTAAAAATTATAATTTCTAAGTGTGTGCCTCAGAACATCCCGGCGGCATCGACTGGGATTGAAGCCAGGCCTGCTGGGGTGAGAAGTAATCACGCTTACCACTACACCACCGGCGCCGCTGATTAATTATCTCTCGCAGTGTATTATTCTCCTCGAGATGTAAAAACTTATCGAAGAACATCGAATTTTCAACGATAAAACCTATAAATTTACATGCTCGTGTAAATTCAAATCAACAAACATTGAGAAAACTAATATGACGGACGGACCGATTATTCGATTAGTATTTTCTCCGCCGCGTATAGCTCGAGTCACCTATTTAGTGGAAAATGTTGGCAAAAGTGTATTGTAAGTTTTGTGAGCTCAGTTTTGGTGATGTGGAACGATTTATCGTGAATATGCGCGTCCACAAATATAAAATGGATGACAGATAAAATATTGATTATAAGGTAAGGGAATTAGTTCGTTCAGAAAATCAAAAAATTGTATGTGGAAAAATAGAAAAACGTTCAAAATGCGCTCGTGGTTCATTTTTTCTCCTGACTGATCGTTTTGATGCAGTGGTGGAAGTGTAGTGGAAGTGGGTGGTAATTCCGCGTACTTGACAATCAGTTCGATTTTATGCAAATTCGTTCAAAAAGCTATAATTTTTGGATATTTGAACAGAAAACACATTGACCATCATAAAATTACACGCGAACCGTGCAGATACCATACTTTGCGCCTTCCCTAACTCTGAGTAATTATACTTGATCCATTTTCTAAATTTTAAGACTAAGGATTTCTTTTCTAAAATCTCCAATACCATGGATTAAGACTTGAATTACAGATCCTCGAATTTAGACTAGATTTAGAATCAATTTCAAGAATAAAAGTAAAGAGTTTTCAGGATTCTGAGGCTTACTTAAATAGGGCAAAAATGCACTCCGGCCCAATGGCCTATTTCGTCCAATCGATCAGCAAGCATCAAACATATCTGGAGTTCATTCTGAATTTCAATATTCTGTCGCTTTAATAAATCATCAAGATCAAGAAAATTAATTTGCTAAAAATTTGGTGCCTGAGGGAAATGCCTCTAATGTTGGCCTATGGATCTAAGATTGGGCCCATCGCTAAAAATCTGCTATTTATCAATTGTTTCTAGATGATCGCGTCATTGGGACGGTACTAACGGATATTTTTGGTTGCTTTGAAAATTTAGTCGATTGCTGAATTTATGTATGGGCCCAAATTAGAGACACTTAGGCCAACATTACATACATTTCCCCTATATCTATGTTTCCAATTACTATTAGCACCAATAAGCTAAGAAATTATGAAATACAAACTGATTTTCGTTACATGAGATAATCTTCCGAAAAATATTAATAAATGTTTCCAGTAACTATCACATGTGAGATAAATGGACTTACAATCTTTCAACAACATGTTGTTATCCATTCAAAGTGTTTTTATGTTACTTCATACGCAAAGTTTGCGAGTTTTAGAGTTGGTTAGGAAATGCTATCTAACATGAAGCTTTAGTGTGATAATTTTTCAGTTATAGAATTGTCTTAGACGAGGGTAGGTAGATAGTTCCGTTAGAGTACGGCTGTATGAAAATTGATTAGAAGTTGAAAATGAGCGAAGGATCATCACACAGTGTGCGCTTGGCTTGGTCATATACGGTCAGCCGTTGTGGAATAGTTCTAGCGACGTTCCATCACTACCACGTTGCAGAAACATCAAAAACAATAAGAAGATAATATTGAATTTGTGATGGCTGTATCGGAAATATGTACATTTAATATGTGATGGTTTGAGTGCTTTTTCAATCAGGCAATAGTACTTTGACTATATGTTTTGTATTACTTCTGCGTGAAGTCAACGATTTACATAGTTGAAGATGCTAATTTCAAATAACATAGGGTAGAGCGCTACTTCGTCGTAATCGCCCATTTCCGTTCTATCGATCAGAAAAGATCAATAATATCAATGATTTCAACGTGCACAAATTAATAATAGGTTTGTTCCGATGCGCTAGCTCATTAGCTACAACATAAATCCTGTTAGAGCGCATTGTATGAATATTTACGCTCATTGTTCTCAATACAAAAGAAGCGCTCCTAGCGAATCCCCTTTTTCTACGTTTATCCGTAGGACGAAGAAAATCTAATAGCGTTTCAATGCGTTAGGACGGAATTGAAACTCGTAGAACGAATTTAGAATCAAGAAGCAGTGTTAGATTTTAGACAATATCTCAACAATTTGTGACTCTTTATCAAATCCAACGGTACGTATGGAAAGGTGAATAAATTTGCAAGTCATATTTGACAGAAATATTACATTTTTTGTTTAAACTCGTTCAGCAAAGGGAGGTAAAGCGCGGGTTGTGCTTAGTAGGACGGAAATTAGATAAAAAACCCTACTAAAGTGGTATTTTTTATACGATAGATGAGTAGATGAAAGTATAGAGTTGATAGTTCCGTTAGAGTACGGCGGTTTGAAAATTGCATATAGAGTGTAGAAAGCGAGCAAGGACAACTTTTAGGAAGGTAAATCGGTTTGATCATCATTTTTTTGGCATTTGAAAACTGACACAAATCATAGAACAGGAACTTTTGGTTTTTTTTTTTTTATAAAACGGCTTTTTGCGTATGTTTCACATAACATAATTTCAAATGTCTAAACATTGTTTTCTGAGCATAAATTACATGAAAAACTATTTAACATAAGTTCTACGATTTTTGTGAAATTTTAAGTGTCCATAATTTTAAACATTCCAAAAGTTAAATTTTATAAAATAGAAATCGAACATAGACACTTTAAGGCATCCAGGTTTTTTTTTTCTTAAATTGAATTTTCTTAAATTATTTTTTGTTTTTGTTTCCAAGAGAAACATTTTTTCTACAACTTTGTCTCAGACATCATTTCGATGAGAAATGCCGTTTCCGTGCTACAATTTTTTCAAAGGTATCATAGGCGCCATTTTAAAATTTTACAAGATCCAAATTTTAGCAACAATGTGAATGATTGCTCACAACAAACAATTAGGTATGCAAAGTTTCACGCAAATAGGAGATGGTCGAGTTTTTCCAATTCGTCATTTGGCGTGGAACTGCTCCATATTAGTTTCATATTGCGTTGTGAAAAATACGATGAGTCAGACAAATTGCAAATCTTGAATGAAGAATACCGAATTAATAATTCATACTCGCTTGATACCTTGCCCTTGATATGAGCCCGTTCACGGCTCACTGAGAGCAACATTTTGTTACGATGGGGTAATCATTTGTCATAGGTACATATTTAAAAATCACGTAAATCGTGGAACGTAAATATGCATTTTTTTATAGTCATTTATTTGTCCAGGCTCATTCAAAGTAGCTTTACGGAGCCGAAACGTAAACATGTTTAATTTAGTGCTCTGAAACCGAAACACACGCAACTCGACGAAAAGTGCGTTTGGTTGATTTGAATGCCTCGTTTGTTTCAACTGATTCTTATGTCATGTGTCGGCTTCAGAGCACTGAAATTTACATGACTTTTTCGTAGTGTGTATGTAGATCATATTTTCACACATCTATAAGCAACTTAATGAAAAGCATTAGACTGCTGTTCCCCTAGAAAATTCACTATCAGGAATCAGTATCATTCCAGTTTAATCAAAGTTTCAAATGTGCGAACAGAACTGCCATACGTTTGTTGAAATACACTTAACCATCGAACTGAAAAATAAAGTGTTAATAATAATCAGAACAACATATTAGTACAAATGAAACACGTGACCGTTAAACATCGAGAACCTATAGGAATGTTAACCGCGACGTACTGAACTAAAAAGAAGATTTTATCGTTGTTAAAACATCAACTAATACTTTGAATCGGTACCCATCCGGAGGGTTCGATCACGTTACGGCTAGGCGTACCTTTTCGAATTAACAAACTAGTAACACGACGCAAAGCCTCTCGCGGTGACTTGTTGAAAAATTTAGGTGTGAGATTAGGTGGTAGGGTAAGCGGTTTTCTGCTACCCGTACCCGCTTCCCAGGCGCGCAGAGATCCCTGCGGATGCAGCCGGTCCAGATGCTCGGTTGACGCCGGCCGCGGTTGTCGCTGCTTCGGATACCAGCCACGTGCTGGACCACCTGCTAAGCGTAACATTTCACCATTGGCAAAAGCTTGACTGATGCTGCGCTGCCGCCCACCGATGGTCGAGGTACCTGGAGAATAGTTTTTGGAGGAGTTACACACAAAGATTTATGGCGTGGTTCAAAGCATTAGCTTCTCTAGCCCTTCGTATGGGTTTGTGATTGTCCAGTTGGTTAACCTTGTCTATTGACAGAAGTCCATTCTGTACAGTATGATTCTATTTTTTTGTAGCAGTGTTTTTGGTAGTCACACAAGCGGTTGTCTCGGGAAAGCGAAGGTGTTAGTAAGCTTTTGCTGCACTTACCAATGCCAACGACCGACGACCCGAGGCTGCTGGTCGTGTTGGTGTTGGTCCGTGGAGCTGTCCGACTTCCACTGCCATGCGGGGGAACCTCTGGGGCACGTCGGTGAGGCGTTCGTGGGATATCACAGCTGCTGCAAGAGGTACAGGTAAGATTTTGTATTTATTCGGAAAGCAAATGAGCAATACCCTCTGGCAAAGATGGGCGTTTCCGGTAAACTGCAGGACGTCTGCAAGCATCTCTCCTCGCGTGGACTTTGTGCGGTTCGCTTTTGATAACCACCGGTGATGACCCTTCGTCGAGAATTGCATCCGGGCAAATCGGGAGGAAGTGTTCCGGGGGCGTGAGGTGAAGTGGAAGCATGCGAACCGTTGCGGTAGGACTTACTAAATCCAGCATCCATTGATCTGAATAAAATAAATTGTCATTTATTCAATTGGAGTTTTCACAGTTGCATTAGCATAATACTGTACCTTGTTTTAAGCGTATTAATAGACGGGCCACGATGAGGTGGAATGGCCGGAGGAAGTTCGTCCCGGAAGTGGCCTTCGTGTTTGGTACTGTTAGATCTATTGCGTGAGCTAATGCGTATGCCGTGTATCTGATGGATGACTTCAGGTTCCTCGGTTGGCGAAGGAGGCAGCGGAGGAAATTCGTCACTGTCCTGCTGTTAGGTATGAGAATTGTGTAGAAAAATAGATCTTTGAAATGTAAACTTGTTTTTACCGGTTCCGGACTAGAAGACGGCGGTGACGGTGGCAATGGCCCCAAACCAGCTTGCGATAAAAGCATTTCTTTGGCACTTTCTGATTTATGAACACCTAGACGAAAACCTAATGGACGTCTCGCGGGAGGTATGTCTAAAGGAAAAAAAGAAACAAAAAAATTACGTCATTTCCAGGATTTACGGTTTCGATTTCAATTTACTCACCGGCTACTCTAGCAACAGATATATCACCACGTAATAAAGCACTAATATTATCCTCTATTTTGCGTAACGGTGCACCACGCTGTGTGTCACTATCCGCTTCCTCGTCTTCTTCGATTGGCGGGGCAAGTTCACGGCGGGGTGTGGAAAGACCTTCGGCTGGAAAATTGAAAAAAAGTGTTTAAGTAAGAGTCAATATTTGGGAGAATGATATTTTTCCATCAGTGTATCTAATTATTTTATGGTTCTTTTAATTATTATTTGTTCATTAATTTGATGATTTGTTATTCCTAACTTCTGACTTTTCATTGTTTATTCTTTGTGTTTTGTTATTTATACCTCATACCTTATTGTTTTATGTTTTTCTTTATTCTTCATTGTAATAGTTGTATTTCTGTTTTACTAAATAACGTGAAGTTGAATGACATGTGGCTGATTTGGTAATGATTCGCAAAGAGTTATGATAGTTGAATTAACAGAAAAACCTTTTATAATGAGGGTTTATTGACCAGGACTCAAATTAAAAATCTAATTTGATTTACTATTCTAATTAAGTTGACTGTTTTGAGCTAAATGTCTGGGCTAAGGTATGCCCTCTGCTAGAATTATTTCAGGAACGTTAGCACAAAAATGCTGGTCAGTGAAATGAGAGGATGTCTCAGGGGAATAGACCAGAATGATGCTGAATAATTCATCGGCGAGGCAAAACACAAATAAGGTGGCACTCGTTGGTTGGTTGGGGGTGACAGAAAAAATGCAGGCATGAAAAGCTAGAGGTGATGTTGTTTTTTTCGCTTACCTGTTGCGGGGCCTGGATGCGGGGGTGTGGCGGCTGGTAGCGAGGAAACTCGCATTAGCGAACTGTCGTTATCGACCACGGGTACAACGGTGGAGCCATTTCCGGTGGCGCCTCCACGGTTGATGCTATTGTTGCTGCTATTACTCTCCAGCGCCTGCAGGGCATCGAAGGTCGAGCTGTACGTTTTGAATTCGGTATAGCGTGACGAAACTATCGGCTGCTGTTGATTCAGTGGTACACTCTGAGCACCACTTCCATTTCCTATCAGTACCGACGTGACAGGAGCAGCGCTGCTAACAACGGTAATGCTATTATTGTTTACACAGGCTGTGCTAAGGTTATTGTTGCTGTTGGATTTAGTTTTGTTGAGGCTATTATTGTTATTATTGTTGCCGTGGGACTGTGAGGACTGCTGCAGGTGCGCCAGGAAGCTTCCAGTTGGAGTTGTGATTTTCTTACCGTTTGTTGAAAGCTCTGAGGTAGGTGAACTTAAATCTAATGATAGTCGTGACCTGAAAGCGAAATTGAAACAACGAATGGATAGAAGATAAGTATGGATTCGGTCGGGTTACTGAGTAGATAACGTTTTCGTGGGAGGGATTGAGAATGAGCCATTATTGCGGTGTCTGTTTTATAGGCTTCGACAGAATTCCCTTGAAGGCAATGAATTGCTCCTGGAAGGAGGGAGCGGTGAAATATTTTTGTTTTGCTACTGATACGTGTAGGATGTTACAAATGAGGAAGACTGGAAGTGGGCTCAAATATGGAACTGGGAATCGAACCTCCATACAGATGACATTTAGTGGTAAGTACATAGGCAGGGGCGCGCACTTGATTTTCGGTGAACAAATTCCGTGCAGACCAGCACTGTTTGGAATATGGGAAATAGGGGAAGATGACTTTGAAGGTTTTTCGGCTACAGTACTTTGGAATCGAAGAATTCAAGACCAACATTTGAAAAGGCCTCAACTCCATTTTGTAAACAAACTTTGTAAGGTCATTTTCTCGCGATCCGAAACCTACATTCGCAAACCTAAAACACAATCGAGTAGAGCAGAATTTCCCCTACCTGTTCATTTTGTTGGTTTGCGTTGGCGGACTTTGGTTCTCGACAAAACCCGTAAAAAAAAATCCAATAAAAATACAATGATTTTCATTTTCATTGTAACCATGATATTTACTGTCATAACATTGGACATTTTTGTCCATTACCATAAAATCACAACGAAATTCATGGTTCACAACAATGAAAAAGGGGGGTTGTTAAGCATCTTAACAATATAAAAAAATAATTTTTCCCGAACAAATTTGATCTCATCACACTAATGTTCGTTGTGTCGTTAAAAGTCAATAAATTTTAATGTACTCAAAATTCAACAGTAAAAATCATTGTAATTTCGTTGTTTTATTACAATTTATTGTTTTCGGTAAAGGCCCTACAAGGTTTGTTTACAAAAGGGAGTTGAGGTCTTTTCACTTGTTGGTATTGAATTATTCAACATCGAGTCTAGGAGGTCACAGCGTATGCAATTTGCAGTTTTCTTTATTTTTACGGTGAAATGCCTATAAAAATATAATGTAGATAATAGATGTAGATTTGATTCTTCTTGTTCTTCTCTAAAATCTTCGTGGTCAGATTCAATCATTTATTCTACGATGACTCGTTTATGAGTAATAGTTTTTCAATATGTGGAATTTTCTGGATTATTGGATAGTTCGAATGAAACTTAACGTGATCTTTTTTATTTCACAAATTATAGATTTACCATGAACCTTTTTAAGTGAACAATTTAATGGATTTTTGTTATCATACTGCTAATTAGATTGGAAAAATATTTATTGTGAACAAAATTATTTTTATTAGGGCCGACTGCCAAATTTTAATTCAAAATTTAAACATTTATGATTAATTCCGATTTTATGCAATTTTCGATATATTTTTTTGGAATCACCTCTTTAATGCCCCAAAGAATGGTGGGACAAAAGAAGATGGAAAATTAAATCTACAACAATAGACATAATTCTTCTTAACCATGAACCGCTTGCACTATTAATAGGAGTTATGCAAGTCAAAACGATTTGAAATTTTCCGGTTTTCCCGTTTTCCCCGTTTTTTTTCCCGTTTATCCCGGAATTTTGGAAATTTTCCCGATTGTGCTATATGCATTTAAATTAAGCATAAAATCGAATGCAAACGGGCCGAAAAGATCTTAGCCTTTTAATTTGGGTCATTACTAAGACTTTAGTAGTATTTTTCCTGTATCTTGAATTTGATTTTGCGTTCATCTAATTTGTCTAACTACTTTCAAAATTCAAAACTCTTTATAGGATTTTATTAGATTATTCCCAAACATTTCGTTTATAAAACATCCCTTCACAAAGTTCTTTTCAGAATTCATCTAAATGTTCTCTCTGGGAATTCCTTTTTCATTGCAATCCAGAAATTGTATGCAGAACACTCCAAAAACTTCATAAAATATGTTAAATTCGTTATGAATTTTATTTTTTTTGTCGCTAGTATTTAACTGAAACTTCTTTCCATTATTTTATGCAAATAGTCATTATTGTCTTAAAAAATTTCTCAGAAAAATATGGGAGCTCTGCTCTAAATTCCTCTGAAAATTTAACTGGAATTCTCGTTTGATTTCTCAAAAAACTCTTTAGGAGATGTCCTTGAAAATATCTTCGTAATTTTCTTAAAACTGTTCACAGAATTCGTTGGCTAGTATACCCTAAAAATTATATTCCCTTAATATTTTTCACAAAGCCTGGTCCTCTTCACAGTCCTCATGGAATTGTCCACAGGTTTTACTCGGACAATTAAGTTTGAGTCCTAGTCAAGTCGCTCGTAGAGTTCTTCACGAAATTCCCTTGGAAATGTACTCTTAAATACTTTGGTGGTATCTATACATTCTTAAATATGTTCAGGTCTCCTAAGTGACTTTATCCTGAAAATCTAGTCCAGTATTAGAGTCTTGAAATGTTTTCAATCTCCAAAATCTTATATGTTTTCCGAAACAAGTTTATTTTTACCGGTTTGTCATCGAAAGTCATATAAATAACAGATGCGTAATAAATATATTATACTAGCTGAGTGTGCCCGGCCTTGCTCGGGATTCAATATTAACTTGAGGTTTTGTGCCGATTCAAAAAAGTATGCTATATTTTTCTGTTTCATTTGTATGGGAGCCCCCCGTACAGAAGGAGGAGGGGTCTCAAACCATCATAAGAACCTTTCACGGCCCCAAAAACCCCTACATACAAATTTTCACGCCGATCGGTTCAGTAGTTTCCGAGTCTATAAGGGTCAGACAGAAATTCATTTATATACTACTAGCTGAGTGTGCCCGGCCTTGCTCGGGATTCAATATTAGCTTGAGTTTATGCGCCAATTAAAACAAGCATGCTATATTGTACGTAGCCCCCCCTCCCCTCTTATCTAAGGGGCTACCCCTTATGACCACCACATGCCATATTTGGTTCCATTTGTTTGATTAGTTCTCGAGTTATTATGAAATTTCTGTTTCATTTGTATGGGAGCCCCCCTTTACAGAGGGGGGAGGGGTCTCAAACCTTCATAAGAACCTTTCCCTGCCCTAAAAACCTCTGCATACAAATTTTCACGCCGATCGGTTCAGTAGTTTCCGAGTCCATAAGGGTCAGACAGACAGACAGACAGAAATTCATTTATATATATATTTTCAATCTACATCCTAACCTGTAAATTTTGAGACAATATTTAGTATAACTTAATAATTTTACCGTCGAATTCTTCCAGGTGTAGATTTACTGAATTTTTTTTTTCATATAGTATCTATTAGGAACGCACATAATATTTGTCCAATAATAAAATAAATGATTTTTATCTGAATATCACATAGCACAATAAATTCTATGTGATTAATCATATAGATTTCATTGGACACATAAGATTTATATGAAGATAAATGGTCAAAGGGACACAAGGTCTACACACTTAGAAGTGATTACCGACATCGGGCATTTTTACCGAACGTTCAACAGCTGAACTGTTCGGTAAAAATCAGGCTTTTTAATTCATTAGCTATAAAGCTTCAAAACAAGAAAAACTTCTCCACAATGGCAACACTCGTTGATTTAATAACTTTTGAAATTACGATCAAAGTTTTATCGAAAGTTCAGCTGTTAAAAGTTCGGTAAAACATTACCTAAGTCGTCAATGATTTCAAAGTGTGTAAGGGACTAAAGGTCACTGAAATAAAAAAAGTACAAAAGGTCGAAGGAAATTTAAACGGACAAAAGGTCGAATGAAGTGTACATGGACAAAAGATGGAATGGATAAATGGTACAATGAAATTTTAAGGGACAAAAGGTTGAATTAAATGAAAAGAGCTATAAGGCCGAAAGAATTTAAAGAGACAAAGGGACGATGAACAAAATATCGAATCGAAAAAGTTAAAAATAGACAATAGCTTTTATCTGTCCAAGATCTGCTCATGTTTTAAAGAAGTAGTCATCTCCAAGAGAGAGGCTGAAAGACAAAAGGCCGAAAAGACAATAAAGCATCGAATGACAAAATGTCGCAGAGACAAAAGGTTGATGTACAAAAGGTCGAATGGACTTAAAGTCGAATGATGAGAAGGGGCACTGTAGTTGACTACTTCTTTGAAACATGAGCAGATCATTGTCATATAAATGCTGGTCGTAGGGCAAATGGTTGAAAGACAAAACCGACGCATTCACAAAACGTCGAATGATAAAAGATCAAAAGGAAAAAAGGTCGAAGGTAAAAAAGGTTGAATGGATAAAAGGTCAAATGATGAGAAGGGGGTAAAATGTTGAATAGACAAAATGTCGAATGTTGAGTCCGTTGAACCTTTTGCCCATTCGACCTTTTGACCATTCGACCTTTTGTCCATTCGACCTTTTGTCCATTCGACCTTTTGTCCATTCGACCTTTTGTCCATTCGACCTTTTGTCCATTCGACCTTTTGTCCATTCGACCTTTTGTCCATTCGACCTTTTGTCCATTCAACCTTTTGTCCATTCGACCTTTTGTCCATTCGATCTTTTGTCCATTCGACCATTTGCCCCCCTTCGCATCATTCGACATATTATTCAATCGACTTTTTATTTATTTATTTATTTTATTTTATTTATTTATCTATCGTCGTTTTATCTATGTCAAAGATCTACTCATGTTCAACTCGAGCGGCAGGCACATCCTGGTATGAGTGCGTGGAGTTTAAAATACATTTGCAGTAATGTAAATACTTTGAAAATAGTGATACATTGAATTAAAATACTTTGACCGGTATTGAAAGCTATTATCAAAAAAATATTTATTCTTGACAGTAATTCAAGCAACTAATGAATTTAAGAGTGTATTCAAAGTAATAAAAGCAGTAATGATAAGTTTTTAGATATTTGGTTAGCAGGCTGCGTTGTATTCAAATACTTGTACGTGCCCCTCGCCTCGAGTCAACTCCAAGAGTGAGGAATAACGTTGGAGCATTTTCAGTTGAAGTGTTGATAAAATTTAATTTTGTCTAAGATCCACTCATTTTAAAATAAGGAGTAAACTTCTACATTGGCTAACTTTCGAGCATTTCAGTTAGATTACTCAAAGTCTACGTTAGATTTAAATGCTTTACTCAGCATATTGCTTTTCCGAGTTGATTTTTTGATCCACTAAAAGTGATTCGACCTTTTGGACCATTGAGCCTTTTTAATTTTTTGTCTTTTGTCTCTTCGACTTTTTGTCTTTTGACCTTTTGTCTTTCGACCTTTTGTCCTTCAAACTTTTGTCCTTCGACCTTTTGTTCTTCGACGTTTTGTCATTCGTGGGTTTGTTTTTCGACCATTTGTCCCACAACCAGTTTTCATATGTCAAAGATCTGCTCATGTTTTCATGAAGTAGTCAACTTCAAGAGTGAGGAATAATGTTGGAGCGTTTTCAGTTGAAGTGTTTATAAACTTTTTGTTGCGTTTCACTGTTTTCATTTTGTTTCTATTTACGTTGTTATTATTTTGTATAGTTTGCACTCGTCTCTGTCTGAAATGTCAAATGAAAGGCAAATCTCGCAGATCAATACAATTCTATGTGCTTTACCTATAGGCGAGGCAGTGCCTCTTACGAATATATTAGTAAGCGGGGCAAACTTTATGGGTGGTAGTGTAGTTCCGTGTACCCGAAGCTTCAGGCACCGGAGATAATAAAGTTGCGACGCCACAATCACGATTTTTGTTCGGAGAGTTGGTTCTTGTGTCGTCACCACTTTTCATCTCCGAAAATGTTTCGTAGTATTGCTCTCAAACACAAACAAACACTATCATGTGCCACTCCTGTATGTATATCTCATTGAATACAATTGCCATACAGCAGTAGAATAAATGAATACTTGTATGCAAGTTGCAAAGCCATATAGTGTTGCATCACAAAAGTTTTGTTGCGAGCACTGAAAGTAATTGTGCTCCGTTTTGTAAGATGTAATTATTATTAAGATAAAAGACGATTGTTAAGATACAGTATAAACACCCCAAGACAAACTGAAAATACACACAGTTGAATTCAAATCTCCGAGTAGGCACGCTGCCTCTGAGAATGCAGTTAATCTGGACTTTTACTTCATCCTCTTTCATCCCGATTATCGAGTATCCGTCGCCGTCACCATGTTGGAGTAGATCCAAGGAATCATAACGTGGGGTCCTGATCTACCGCTGGACGAGACACTTTTATTTGTCTAAGATCCGCTCATGTAGTAGTACCCGAGCAAAGCCTGACATCAAATTGAAATCTAAATTTGATGTTTTGATTCCGCTTATAATGATTACTCAGGTTGCTGTCGTTTTGGTCGTTTTAACGGTTAAAATATCAAAATTAAGAGCAAAAAAATCTTCCTGTGACATCACATTGAAAACTATTTCTGCTATCAGTGAGAGCAAACTGAAAACTAAATTTGATATCAATTTTTCCTGTTGATAACAGAACAAGTATTGAATTTGATGTTATGATAAGGCAATGAAAACAAACCCGCAACAACATTTTTTTGAAGAGCAAATGAACAGCAAAAGGAAAACAAAATTTGGTATCAAATTTGTCAATTGCGTAAACTGAAATCAAATTATGGCTTCAGTTTGATGTTGATATCAAAACTTGATTTCAATTTGCTGTCATTTTGATGCTGGACTTTGCTCGGGTACACTTCAAGATCGACTAACTTTCCAGCGTTGCAGTTAGATAATCAAAGCCTAAGTTAGATTTAACTGATTTAGTCAGCATATTGCCTTTTGTCCTTCGACCTTTTTTCATTCGACCTTTTGTCCAACCATGTATGTGCAAAGTTTAATTAATATCTGAAAGGGTCTCGAAAAAAGTGGCATTATTTTCAGCGTTTTGGGTTGGAAATGCTCTTTGCTTAGGTTTCTCAAATTTTGAAAAGACACAACTGAAAATTTTTCAAAGTCCCAAAATTATATTTTGTTTCAACGTGATATTTTTTTTAAGAATCTTTTTTCGTAATGTGGCCGTTATGGCTCTATACCGTATGTTCGTATGTTCAATCTATCTCCGAGTGCTATTATGAAAGCAACTTGTCTGCAATTATTGTCTTCATCTATTTAAACTACACACTTAGAAATAACTAATTTTACACGTGATGGAATCCATCTTTCACATAAAGGATGATACGTAAACAAACATGTTATGTAATATTAAGTGCTCCGAAAATGAAAAATTCGTTAGTCGACAAAAAGTACGTTTGATTGAGCTGAATTTTGTGTCTGCTATGACTCAATGTTATGTCAAAATTGACGCTCGTATATGGCAGTGTCAGAGCACCAACATTTACACGTTTTTTTTTCTAATTTGTACTATCGATTCCTACGATATCTTCACGTGACCTAGACAGCAGGTTTGGTGATTATCGCCAAAATATGCTCTTAACGATGTGTTCCTAGTGTCACGCAAACAATGTTGTGAAATCTAACGGCTACATACTACAAAAGAACATACATAATTCCCTTCAATATCAAGCTATGAAGAGTAAGCTGTTATGCCGAGTATTACAATGGGAGTCAAGTGTACACAGTCTCGCCTAATGTTGTTTCAACGAAGGCTATATTATCTACATATAAACATGTGTTTGCAATTACCTGGGCGATAGAACTGAGTTGGGTAGTTTTTGAGGAACAGAGTGAGAGGTCTTGATTGCACTGTAGCCGGAGGATGTTAGACCCAAATCAATGCTATGCCTCGACTTGGGTAACATCATGGACGCAGGGAACACTGGACTCGGCAGTGTTGTGGCAATGGGCGGGGATTCGCTGCTGGGAATTGGTAGGTTGTTGCTAGCGTTCGAGTCCAAACTTTCCAACCGCTGCCTTCGACGACCTTTTCGAATGACATATGTTCCGCGACCGGAGATGTCGGGTACTTGCGGTATAAGCTCATCTAAAAGGAAATAGAAGAACCTCATTGTCATCACTTTTGTGATTTTTATGGTGCTGTGCTTGAACTTACCGGAATCGGAGTATAAAGATGCAGCTTCGTCCTCTGTACTACATATAGGAATGTCGGGTGGATCGGGCCATTCATTGTTGGATTCGCTTTTTCGATTGCTAGGAGTCGATTCTAAACTTGATTGTGAATCGTTCACGCTCTTGGTGCCTTTTCGCCTGCCAATAACCTAGAATGGTAAATGGAATAAATATTTAAATAATGAGTGAATTTTCAGCGAGCAGTCAACTCTGACATAGACGAGCGAACGAATGGAGCTGGAGGAGGAAATTCGGGGTTTGAATGAATTATAGAATAGACACATCCATTTCCCACACTACGGTGCTTTAAATATTGCATGAAACCTGGAGCAACAATATCAATGCTGATCCACTTTCGGGAAAGATGTGATAGTGTTGGTTACAGCAGGTCTAGTTGTGAGGGCTGAACTTTATAGTGTCGGTTACTCAGGGAGTGTGGTAATTTGTGGGCGGAAGTTTGGATGTCAATGTCAATTTTCATTTGCTTAATTTACAGTTCCATTCGACTGAATGGGTTTAGTGTCCTGAACAATAGGTAGTGAAGATTGATATGTTCTTATACAATTTTTATGTGTGGTTTAAATTAGATTCACTTTCATAATGTTGGCTGGAGTGATGAGAAAAAACCCCACCTGTATTATAAAGGTTTTCCGATTTTGCCCACAATTTGATTGATTTACCTGTGTAGCATATATATGAGTATTATAATGTATCTACATGCTTGAACCATGGTCATTAATATTTGGGACCAGATAAATTTCCATTGAAATTCCAAGAAAATGTATTTTTTCTGGTGCTGCTAAATAGACTAAATAAAGTAAATAGACATTTTCTGAAACTTGCATAACTATTTCATCAATCATCATTGACATCAGTATTACAAGGAGGAAAGAGGTAAAACAATGTTGGAGCATAATTGATTAGCAATGTTAGATGGTTAGATAAGAAACAATTAAATCTGCTTTGAATCGAATACTGAACAATTCTCGAGAAAATATTCAAATGGACGTAAGTATTTTTTTAAACAATGGTTTCAAACCAGAGCGTTAAGCATCTGATACTCTCAATTAATGATTTTTTTTTCGTTTGGTTTGTTTTCCGTCGATCTTGTTTTCCGTGCTGAGCACCAATGCTACCGACGTGAGGGAGGCAGGTCCCACACCTGGACCCTACATATCGACCCATCAACTCATGAACCGGGGACCAACGGCTTTACTTCCGTGATCAGAAATGTTATGCCTCAGAACATCCCGGCGGCGCCGACTGGGATTGAACCCAGGCCTGCTGGGGTGATAGGTAATCACGCTTACCACTACACCACCGGCGCCGCTAATTAGTGATGATTTTTTCTGTTTTCTTCTTCTTCTTATTCGCATTTCAAGCTTATTGCTTGGCGCATATTAGCTTATTGCGTGCTCTCAACTTAGTGTTCTATATGCACTTCCACAGTTATTAATTGAAAGCTTTCGATGCCAATACCAATGCATACATTTGTATATTGTGTAGCAAGCACAATGATAATCTATGCCCAGGGAAGTCTAGAAAATTTCCAACCCGAAAGATTCCCTCGACCGGACCGGGAATCGAACCTGTGGCCTCCGGCTTGGTAATACCGTGCCTTTACTGACTAGGCTATGAGGTCCCTGCTGTTTTATGATGAATGAATAGGATTATTGAATAAATCTTACATCGTGATGATTAATGCTTATGATTTGTGCATTTATTGCTATTTGCATTGTATTTTTACCGAAAAATTTGAAATGTTTTATAAAAGCGAATTGTCCAAATATTCCAAAAAATTTACAAAACTTGAATGCAATTAAATTTTTAAATTATTAAATTGTAATTTAGCAATTACAAATTCAGTGTCCTGAAATTTACTATGAACCTTTTTTTTCGCAAAACATGTAAAATAATAAATCTTCAAAGTATATTAACTTTGTATGGGGTTTTTGAACTCATTTTCGTCCCCCACCTTCTTAGATTTATATTAAACTTTTCATAACTTTGATAGTATTTTTAATTTCAACGCCACCACTCATCATCAATTTTTGCTGATATGCGGGTAAAAACAATGACCTGATCGAGGAAACAAACAGTCGATAGCACTACCGACACTGAGAGATAAACTGCTGCTGTGTCCGTTCACAGCTGAAAGTGAACTAAATGGCCGAATTTAAGTAAAAGTGTGAATGATTACCTATAACAAACAATTATGCAAAGTTTCATGCAAATCGAAGAAGGTCGAATCAATTTTTTTTTGTTTTTTGGCGTGGAACTGCTCACATCCACGACATTTGTCAAATGTATACCTAGAAACATAAATAAAAACAAATTGCTCTGGTGGCGAAGGGATGTAAATGTGGGTGTATTATTCCTAAGTTTTTTTTTTTTCAATAGGATTATTTATTATTTAGGCAAAAATGTCCAAAATGTCTCCACGGAGCTGAGAATCAGTAAATATTTTTTTATAACAAAAATAATAATATGAGAAACATTGTCTAAAAGCCAGCGGTGCCGGAGGTGTAGTGGTAACCATGATTGCCTCTCACCTCAAAAGGCCTGGGTTCAATCCCAGTCGGCGCCGCCGGGATTTTCTGAGGCATACTTTTCTTGGGAGGCGACTTGAGCTTAACTTCCACTTTCTGCTGAACCCTTAACTTCCTGGCTTCTTTAAATCGTTTCTGCTTTCACAATGCCAGCCGCTTGTCATCTTCTTCGTCCTTTATTCATTCCTTCTCGGTATAGTCCACTATCCACTTTGTCCACTTTGTTCCCTAGATAGAATATGTTCCCCTTCCTATAGAGGAAATGTATTTTTCGTCTATATATACATTACGTACACCTGAGGCTCAAGTCCGCAGAGAATTTCTTCAGGATGACACGTTTTACAGCACCGTATTTCCCTAGCACCAATGGTTGATCGTAATACGGAACCTCTGGTGGAAGATCGTACACTCTCACGTATTGAACGTTGCCCCCCGCAGACGACATGCGTACCTTGACTGATTTCCCGGCGGCATAATGGAAAATTAATTGGTCACGGTTATGCAACAAGCAATGAAGCATCGATTGCTCTGACTTGAACTTTATGAACAAATATGTTTGCTGCCTGGCACGATAACCTCAATCGCACGTGATCTTTTGTTTGGTTTTAGTTAGAACAATCATGTTGTTTTTTTGTCGTTTCTAGTGAAAAGGAAGGTAAAATTACTGTAGTTTTAATTCGTCGTTTCGTGGTTTTTTTTTTTTTTTTTTTTTTTTTTTTTTTTTTTATATTCTTAAGAAAACAAATTTGTATATGTATTTGTACTAGTCTACATCGGTTGATGAAATAAATAAATAAATAAATAAATAAATAAATAAATATGAGGGGCTTGGTGGCCTTAGAGCGACAACTTTGGCTACTGAGTAGAACATCATGAGTTTAACCTCAGGCCCCTCCACATTCAAGACTCGTTAATCGCTGTTGCAATATAAGGAGCTCGTTTGCCTAGTGGCAGACGTTTTTGCGTTCTGAGCAGAAGACCGTGGTTCAATCCCAAGCTCCTTCGCGTTAGAGGATCGTTAGGATATCAATTCAGCTTCAAATTTACCAAAACGAATCCTGCTACAAGCCAAAACCTTTTATCCAAAATCCCAGTGATTTCTCGTGGAAGTGCAGAGAATTTCTCGGCTTTCTACATAGCGAGTATCACGTCAACACATTCCTAGCCATTCCTTTCTTGACCTGCGTTCTGGCACGGCCGGCGCTGGTATTGCCTAGTTTGAGATCACACATTGAGGATGAATGTTAGTTCCATGCATCATCTATTGGTTCTCTGTGTAATTACAGCTGATCTGGCAATAACAGAATAGCATCTGCGGGCGGTCAATCATGCTCATGCTGAAAGGCATTTAGAATAATGGTTGTTTGACATAATGGTCATTTAGCATAATAAGTGAACTTGAGTTATTTTCATTTCAGTTTAGGAATAAGGAATTAATGATCAGAAATAAAACACGTGGTTTTATCAATGAACTGTCAACTCCAAGGGAGTCCATTTTGACTTTTGACTGTTTAGCATTATTATCTGGATTAGTCAATAGCAATTATCTGTCAAAGAATTGCTTATGTTTGAAACCTGGTGAATGTGGGCGTCTTATAAAGAGAGAGAGAGAGAGAGAATGAACTTACTTATCCTTTTTTCTCTCTTTATATGCTTATGTTTTATAAAAAGCTTTTGAGCATATTCAGTTGGATTTCTTAATAGCTTATATCTGTTTTAAAGAAGGAGTCAACATAAACATTTTTCACAACACTGACTGCAAAAGATACTTTGTCATTGTTCCAACCGTTTCTGCTTCACGTTTCAGCCTGGTGTACTGGTCCGCCACCACTTGGAACGTTCTTCCGACAATGTCCACGTCGGTCGTCAGTGTAGCAGATGAACTGGCTGGATTTATTGAAGATCGTGCCCCGCATGTTAAAGCTTCTAGCGCAATGTAGAACCAGAGCCAGTTATGGCATATGCACCAGTTATGACACAATCCCATATATGCAAAGGTAGCAGTTTTTTTCCTTGATTTTGTTTTCCGTCGATCTTGTTTTCCGTGCTGAGCACCAATGCTACCGACGCCAGGGAGGCAGATCCCACACCTGGACCCTACATATCGACCCATTAACTCATGAACCGGGGACCAACGGCTTTACTTCCTTTCCGAAGGAAGGCGTGATCAGAGATGTTATGCCTCAGAACATCCCGGCGGCGCCAACTGGGATTGAACCCAGGCCTGCTGGGGTGAGAGGTAATCACGCTTACCACTACACCACCGGCGCCGCTAAAGGAAACAGTTGTGGCAAGCAAATTTTAAGTAGTGTCATATCTGTGGCACTTTCCCTATCATAGTGTTAGTTAGTCAGTGTAGAAAGCTCAGAAAGTTTCAAATAACAAAGAGCACAAAGTTGAGGACAAGTTTCTATTGGGACGTAATAGCCATAAAGAAAATGTTAACATGCAGTTATTTTGCAAGATGGCACAGATCAGAGGCATAAATTGTATTACATAAATGAATGCATTTGAAGGTTTACAGCGAAAATTAAATTCTTTATTTGCTCTTCATCAAATGTTGTTTACGTTATATTTTACATTGCACGAATACGTATCCT